CATTAAAAACACAACTGCACTACACTCAGTCCAGTACTTCTCTCCGTACTCGCCTCGCGCGCGCGCCCGCCCTTCAATCCCACGCACTCCTCCCACTCAGACGCCCACTCACCCACTCACTCACTCATAGTCAGATTCCCCTTCCCACTCTCCCACTTCTCCCTTCTCCTCACTCCCCTAATCCCAATCCCCCCCCCCAATTCCCCATACAGTAATCTTCACCGCCCTCGCCCACCCCCAAATCACTCACCTTAATTCACCACACACACACACACGCACACTCACCCACTCACCCACTCCCTCCTACCACCTATCACCCACCACCCACCACTACTCCTCCCATCTTACGCGCGAAAGAGAAAAACAACTTCAATACTATACACCCTCATCCTATTGTATATCCCTCTATCTTATCTCCAAAATCAATTCATCCCTCTCCAATCATTGTCTATCACTCGTTCCGTGTTGCCGCCCATTTTCAACACTTCTGCCTGGACTTTTACCGCGTCGGCAGTCTTGTCGCGAAACGAGGGGAGGGCCTATTGCGGGTATTCGAAGCGCCGGCTTACGCTGGGGGCGCTGGCTGGGGCGGGAAAGAAGTCGACCTTCCAGTTCTTGGGTAACCACCTCGACACCTCGAACACACACACACTCGTTCACTCCCTTAAAACACAACAACAACCTCGTCGTCGTCATACTTGACACCGCCAACGTCTCCATTTAATAATTATTCCCTCTTCCTTGTATTGAAACTTTTCTGGAAAAGTTACATTACTACACCGCCAGGAACAAGCCCTCTCACTTTCCCCGGCACACCCAAGCTTTTGTTCCTTCCGTCGCAGAAAGAGACGCCAGACGGCATCGTTACGTCGTCAACCTGGGGCTGTGCAAAATTGTTTCCCACAGCTAGCCGCACTCCAACAAAGAACCTCTTCTCACCCCCCCCCGAACAAAACATCTTATTGTTCTCCACGCTGTCGCAGCTCCGAGACAGCGTACCTCCCGTTGCCAAGATAGCGTCCCTCACGACAGTCTCCACGACGGCGAAAGAAAGGAGCCCCAGCTCGGTACAGCTGGAGCTTGTGGCACTCGCTCGCGAGAGCCTACGAGAGACGGGACGCGTCTCGGGAGACCTCACAGACACCATCACCGTGGAGAGGCCACCGCGCACCAAGCTGCCCGACCCGACGAGTCCGACTCCTCCGGCAGATCCTGTCACCGCCGACAGCGACAACAGGCATCCACCACCAGCCGACGCCATGACTGCCGTTGAATCACATACGGCGCCGAGCCCATTCCTGGATACGCCCGCGGATCCACCTACGTCGCGATTCACCGCCGTCAATAACCGCGAGGCATTGCCATCCGCGGCGCCGACGAACAATGGCAATGGCTCGTCGCGGAGAGCATCCGAGGATCGACCTGAGCCATTGGTCCGCACCACTCCGCCAGTCCCAGAGAAGCTGACCATCACCACGACGAATACGCAGAGAGACAATTGGGCCGACACGGTCAATGGCGACAAGGCTGCCGGCAGCCAGAGCGTCCCGCCGCCTCCCACCTTCCCAGATGGCGAATCTTCACATAAGCGCAAGCGGTCTGGCTCTGTGGAACGCGACAGCGCCCAGCCGTCCAGCTCGAGCTCGTATCACAAGCACAGTCTACCAGCACTGAAGCCGAATGAGCAGCAAAAAGGTTCGCCGAGCCCGTATCCCGACTCGGCGCAATCGAGCAAGAGAGATGCGCAATCGGCAACGCGTGATCCATATGTCACACCCCAAACGCCGTATCCGCACTACCCCGAGGAGAGCCGCGAGAACAGCGCCGCGTCGTGGTACTCGCATCAGATCGACAACCGGACCCCTGTGGACGGAGGGCACTCTGCCGTTTCGCAACACCACATGAGCCCTGATGATCAGCTTCGGGAGGCGCTGCAGCGCGAGAACAACAGCGATGGGCAGGGTAATTACAGCGAGACCAGCCCGGCGCAGAACAACGATCGCGGTGCGCCTTACCGAGGCGAGTATGGGCAGGTGCAGGTGGACCACAAGAAGCGGAAGCGCAATTTCAGCAACAGGACAAAGACCGGCTGCATGACCTGCCGCAAGCGCAAGAAGAAGTGCGACGAGACGAGACCTGAGTGTAAGTCCCCGCGAGCTATTGTACAACCATGACTATATCTAATTCGTCCTGAAGGTAACAATTGTATGCGTGGTGGGTTTATCTGCAACGGCTACCCGAGTCGTGGCAATTGGCCCAAGACGGAGCAGAAGCAGGGACCCGTCCCTCTGCAGTCCAAGGACGGCTACGATGCAAGCCCAAGCCAGTACCAACCGCCACCGTACCAGCAGCAGCAGCAGCAGCCTCAGCAACCAAAACGCGAGCCCTTACCATCGTATCGCGGGCAGCAACTACGCGTTGATCCCCTGCAACCGCCCGCGCGGCCAGTTGGCGCTGACGAAGACCGGAGCGCCTCCACCAACCTCAGCGCCTCAGTTGGGAGCCCCGACAAGAGGCTCTCCGCCATCTCGTACACGCAAGCAAATACCTTCCCTACACCGGTAAGCGCAGTCAGCCAGAGCAATTACCCCGATCGTCTTTCTCAAATGGATTACCAGCGCATGCCTCCCCTGCTAGACCAGAACCGCAGCGAGCATGACACTGGGACTCCGCAATCGGCACACTCGGTCCCGCACTTCAGCATCCTCCACGCCTCGAATACGAATAGCCCGCACCCGCACACGCCGCAGTCCACGGCCGCCCAGGACGCCGCGCGCCTCGCTCTTTCGCATCCGGCCTCCAACTCGCGCCGCACGCAGAAGGAGGAGATGCTCGCGGGAAACAACTTCTTCCCCTTTGACCGCGAGCTCGTCCTCGAGCGCGAGCGCTGCAACGCCGCATCGTGGCGCTTCAATAACAGCACGAATCCCAATAACGGGAACCTCCCCGAGGACCGCTCGCGCTTGTTCCGCGACATCCTGCAGCCCAAGGAACTGGCTAGCATGCCGCCTCACCTGGCGTCGCCGGTGAATCCGCAAGGGTACGTAGGCGAGCGCTGCGTCGTCGCTGCGCCGTTTACGTGCGATTACGGGTATAACATCACCATCGGACAAGACGTGAGTATCGACCGCAACTGCACGATCCTCGACTGCGCGTCTGTCAAGATCGGGGACCGCTGTGTGATTGGACCGAATGTGAGTATCCTCACCACGACGGTACCGATTGATCCGAAGAAGCGCCTTGGAAGCAAAGGGCCGAATCAGGGGAAGCCGATCATCATTGAGGAGGACTGCTTTATTGGGGCGAATGTCACGCTTTTGCCGGGGATTACGGTGAAGAGGGGGACGACGGTTGGGGCGTGCTCGGTTGTTACGAGGGTGAGTTTTTGTCCTTTGGTAGATAATTCGAAGGCGGACTAACATATCATAGGATGTACCACCCTTCACAGTCGTCAGCGGTAACCCGGCAAGGGTCATGCGCGGCATCTTTCAGGTCCACGACTAACCCCCCTCTCTCCCGTCTGACTCCGAGGTTTCGCTAAGGATTACGAAAAAAACATATTTTATATATATGTTCCGGCCCAACCGCGAGTTTTGCCAGTTCGCGTAGGATTTGAATTTTCTACGATACTATTCTACACCGCTACTTACGGTTGGGCCGGCCTACTCGCGAACTGGCCGACCCATTCGCGAGCTGCAAAACTCGCGGTTGGGCCGGAACATATATAATACCACCACCACCACCCCCGTCCTTACGAAGGCGGTAATATTGCTCAACCCTTCCCTTTTTCGGCGTTATGATTGCAACTGGCTGGTCCAATTTCACGATAGTCGCTCTTGTTTGCACTTCCCTCCCCCCGACCTGGTGTTCTTATGCGAGGATGCATATGCGTACCAGGACGCAGGCGGGGTGACGAGGGGTAGCTTGTGGAAGGGGAAGAGGGGAAGGGAAGGGAAGGTAAAATGGAAGGGAATGGGAATGGGAAGGATGGATGGGGATGGGGAGCGGAGGATACAACTGCTACCCACCACAAACGGAGAGAAAGGGGAAGAGAAGAAAGCTGGGAAAACCCGTTGCTATTTCCGTTTTTTTTTTTTTTAACTACTACTACCACATTTTTTTTTTACCGCCCTTTGTTCGTCGTTATATTCTGTGCTTCATTATGCGTTCATTGTCGTTATGTGTGTGTGTCCTGTGCTCAAACATTTTTATTATTATTATCTTATTTTACGACGGGATGGGGGCAAGATGGGATGGGAAATATCAGGGAATGGGAGGGAAATGGATGGAAACAGGGATGGGGGGATAGGGGGATAGGATGGGAAAGAAAGCACCGAAGGGGTTATTAGGGAAATATTACTTTTTTGCTCTTTATCTTTTTTTGCTCCTTAGTCGTTGGTTGTTTTTGTTGCTGGCTGCTCTCCCTTGTTGTTGGAATCTTTGGACACAGACGGGGTAGTGAGAGGGAAGTCGCGGTGATTTTGATTGCTAGGGATTTTTTTTTGCTAGAGAAGGGGAGGGGATGGGGGGGAGATGCGGTGGGTGGGGTGGTGAGAGTGGCTGGCTGTAGTCGTTTTTAACTTAAGCTTTTATAAGATTCATCAAAATGGATGGGGTTCTTTTATTATTGGTTTGGGGTGCTGTGTGTTTGTATCTCCTAATACATATATATACTGCACTATATCACTATATTATCTTCCCCTCACTCCCCCCCCTCCCAACACCAAAACCAAAACCAAATATATATATATATATATCACCAAACACCAAAAAAGAATCACCAATCCTCACATCTAAATGCCCACACACAGAGTTGAACCCTAACCCCCCATAGGGTCTCGCGTTAGCTCGGATACCCACACCAGAACCAACACCCTCGAAATCTCGAAACTTCAAAAAAAAGCGCAAGGCCACGGACTGACTACCTACCTCTTATCTAATGAATCTCCGTACGTACGCCATACTTCAAAAAATGCAAAAAATTAATAACAATAAATATATGCCCACATACAGAGTTGAACTGCAGACCTCGGCATTACTAGTGCCGCGCTCTACCAACTGAGCTATGGGGGCTGGATTTATGGGAGGGGGAGCTGACATTTGTGGACTATGGGACTATGGGTGGGTGGTGGGTGGTGAGCTTGGCGGGGTATCGGTTGTGGGGGGGGGGATATGGATAGGGGAATCGCGGCAAGTTTGTGGGGTTCGAGGAGGAAGTGGATGGGCCTTCCTTGGGCGTATGAACTAGGATTTGGAGACATGACTTTCTATAGAAACATGGCGCTGTTCAGAAGACAACTCCATGGCTGGACCTGGACTTCCAGTTTGTCGTGTGGGGGCTGGGGATGGAGCGGTGGTGGGTGAGGGTGGTGTGGTATGTGTGGTGATGAAGGGAGTAGGGTGGTGAGAATAGGCCAGCGACGACAGGAAAGAGTGACCGCAGCACTATTCCCTGTTCTCACCGTTGTGGTTATCTTCCTGTCACCACAAATGGGGAAAGTTGCTTGAATTTCCATTGCCTACCTGTCTTCGCCCTTCACTGCTAATGTGGTTCTACTGAACGTGGAGGTAGTGTCCTTAATTAGAATTCCTTCATCATCTGTATCCACCGACTCTGCTGCTATTGACTGGGGAACTTTGCTTTGTTTGTACTGTTTAATAGGTGGTCATACGAATCGGACGAGGGGGGGTTGGTGATAACTTGTAAGTATAATGATATAATATACGGCAGAACAATAGAAGGCCTCACCAGGATCACAGCAAATAGAGACGAGGGGGGATGCTCCATATGTGCATGGAATAGGGGGTTTGTTATCTCCCAACTGTAGAGGAATATATACGTACATGCAGGGAGAGAAAAAGGGGCGGATATTCAAACAATAGGCCACGTCACATCAGAACAGTCTCGTAAGAGTCAAAATATTCATAATCTGATATAATATAATATCTACTTCATCATAGCATGGCTAGCAATTTTTTTCAAATATACAAAAAATACACAACCCCCGCTCCCTCCCCTATCCCCCTCGCTTTATCTAAAAGCGGGCCAGGACCTTCGCCTCAGCCTCACCAAGAGCCCACTCGCTCTTCTGGTTCTTACTCCTGACCTTCAACGCCTGCTCAGCAGTGAAACCCTTCGCCACAACAGCCGGGTTATAACCCAACCCGTTAATCTTTCCAATCTCCTCATCCGAGACCTTAGTCGCAGTCTGGCCATCAGCACGCTCGTACACAGTGACAACAGCGGCACCACCAAGACCGAGGTTGTGCTGCAGCGCAACCTTGGTTCCAGAGGGCACCAGACGGTTGTTAGCCCATCCACGAAGATGCCACACCAGCTCGGCGCACTGCGCGATGCCGGAGGCGCCCAGGGGGTGGCCCTTGGAAATGAGTCCTCCAGAGGGATTGATGACGTACTTTCCGCCGTAGGTGATATCGCCGTTGCGGACGAGCTCGTGGGCCTTACCCTTCTCGGACAGGCCGAGGGCGTCAATAGTGACCATCTCGTTAGCGGAGAAGCAGTCGTGGAGCTCGACGACCTGGACGTCAGCGGTGGTGCGGCCAGCCTGGCGAAGCGCGATCTCCGCAGCAGTCTTGGACATATCGTAGCCCATGAGGTCGATGGAGCTCTTGTTGAACAAGCTAGGCGCGTCGGTGGTGAGTGCCTGGCCGGCGATGAGGACAGCCTGGGAGCGGAGGTGAGGGCGGGAGTTGAGGAACTCCTCCGAGACGAGGACGGCGGCAGCGCCTCCATCGGAGGTGGGGCAGCACTGCAGCTTGGTGAGCGGGCCGAAGATGGTGGGGGAGTCGAGGATCTGCTGGCGCGTGTACACCTGCTGGAACTGGGAGTAAGGGTTGCGCTGGCTGTGCTCGTGGTTGACGCGAGCGATCTCGGCGAAGTCGTCGTTGGACGCGCCGTACTTCTCCATGTACTCGATGCCTGCGTTGCCGAACATCTGGGCCGCGCCGGGGGCGTTGGTGACGCCGCGGGTCTCGGCCATCATCATGGCACTGGTGCCGGTGGGGTTCTCGCGGTCGTTCCAGAAGCTCTGGAGGGAGCCGGGGTTCATCTTCTCGAAGCCGATGACGAGGACGCAGTCCGCGCCGCCGTTGGAGATGACGTCGCGGCCGATGTGCAGGCCGGTGGAGCCGGTGGAGCAGTTGTTGTTGACGTTGTAGATGGGGATTTGGGTCATACCGAACTGGTAGAAGACGCGCTGGCCGCAGGTGGAGTCGCCGTAGCAGTAGCAGGCGACACCTTGGTCAACATCGTCGTAGCTGATATGGGCGTCGAGCATGGCCTTGACACCGGCCTCGAAACCGAGCTCGGTGTAGTCAACCTTTCCGCGCGGCTTGATGAACTTGGTCATGCCAACGCCGAGGACGTAGCATCTCTTGCTGGGGGCGGAGCGGACCATGGTTGCGGTTTAGGGGTGATGAGAATAGAAAGAGGTGTCTGTGGTATTATCTTTTGGTCGGGTTTGAAGGAGAATAGTTATTTAGGATTGGTATATAATGGTATGATCAAAAATGACGAACAGCGCCCCCTTTGCTTCATAAATACGATAAGCTTAAGGCAATCTGATATCACCCACGGCCTTTCGGTAATGTGGGGTCTACATTTTGCGGGGAATTTGGGGAAGTTGCCGAGGCTTGGTTTGACTGCCTTTGTACATAGTAACCGCGACCGCCGGGTATACTTCAGTAGCCTCGCTTCACATGCCTTTCTATTCGTCCTTGGCGGCACAACGTCGTCCAGGTGCCAAATTATGCTGGATAAGTAAAAATAACGGCCGTAAAAATAAAATGTTTAAACCTGTTGCAGAGTGGCTAGTCGGTCTCCATGGTCAGTCTCTCCGTAGTCAGTACAAGATCGTCAGTCACGTGATTTATATGCTTATTCAAGGTATATCTTCATATAAACACGCCACTTTACATATCCGAGGTATTATTAATCCATTGCCATGGAGTATTAAGTGCATAGGTCTACCTCTACAAACACAGTATATACACCCGAAAGATCTATCTTTGACATCTGACATACACTCCCGCTCTAACCCTTGGATCTATTACTCGGATTTGCTCTTTCCATCGTCGGTTGCCAACGGCTCACTTGGCACGTCGTGTCTCGAGTACATCTTATACTCGTCCGAGTCCTTGAACGCCAGCTTTCCGCTCTCAACAGCCTCACGCGTAGCCGAAAGCTTCGATTTGGGGAGTCCCATGCTCTCCAGGAATTTCAAGCCTTCATTCACATGTTAGATCACTAATCATAATAACTAATCATTATCTGAGGGGTAAGGGGAACTCACTGTCAGTCCACTCCAACTCCTGTCGCTTCTTGTCCCAGTTGAGCTCAGAGGCCATAACATCAATGACTTCCGGGAGCGCCTCGAGGGCGGCCTGGGCGTTGAGGAACGCCAGACGAGTGCGGCGAGCGATAACGTCGACGGCTGTCTGGGCATACTCGTGCCTGACGGCATAGCGAATCTCACCATCGATGAAGGGGTATAGGGGGGACAGTCTCTTGCCGCGGACAGGGAACCTCTTCTCAGTGGGCTCGGAAAGGCCAGCAACAGTCCAGGCTCTGTCACCGTACGAGCCAGTCAGGTGCTTCGCGACGTCGGTATCGATGCCGTAGTGCTGGATCAGGTTGATAAACAGGGTCTTGGAGAAGCCATGGGCACCAATGAGTCTGACTTGATGGGTCTGGCAGGATCCGTCAAGCGTTGCGCCGTCGTCGATCTGGGTGCTCCCGCTGACGCATGGGGCGTTGAGAACGCGGGTTGGCTTCAGCTTGTAAGTAGTGATGGCTTCGTCGACGCACTCCTCGGCCATTTGACGGTAAGTTGTCCACTTTCCTCCAGCGCAGGTCAAGAGGCCAGATTGCGAGATATCGATGAGATGGTTACGGACGAGAGATTCGGTGTTCTTGGCCTTGGGGTCCTTGACGAGAGGGCGGATACCGGACCAGGCAGCGAGGACATCACCGCGTCTAACGTTGATGTCTGGGGCAAGGTAGTGACGGATCTCGGACAGAATCCAGTCAATCTCATCCTCGCCGGCAATGGGGTTCTGCTGGATGGTAGTAGGGGCATCAGTGGTTCCGGCAATGGTGTTTCCCTGCCAAGGCAAGAAGAAGATAACTCTGCCATCAGAAGTCTTGGGGTCGATCAGGCCCATGTTCGACGGGCTGTAGTATCCGGGGAGAACGATGTGTACTCCAGAGCTGGGGGCGACGATTTCCTTGATGCTGGGCTCGTCCATCTTACGGATGGAGTCGCAGAATGGACCGGTTGCGTTGACAATACCTCTCGCTCTGATAGTGAACTCCTCCGACTTCTTGCCATCCTTTTCACGGACAAGGTCCCTGACGCGTGCGCCGCAAAGCTGGCCATTGGCGTCCTTGTTCAGTCCTGTAACTTCAAGATGGTTTACAACAGTCGCGCCGTACAAGGCAGCGGTCATAGCCAATGAGACGTTCATTCTCGAATCGTTATGCGCACCATCGTAGTAGACCAGCGCACCAATGAGATCCGTCCTCTTCAGCATGGGGAAGGCGTCAAGAGCCTTACTCCTGGTCAAGAAGTACGAGCTCTCAATTCCCTCGGACCCAGCCAGAAGATCGTAGGCCTTGGTTCCAGCCCAGTAGTATGGTGCCTTCCACCACTTGTCCAGAGGCAACATGATTGGGAGCCACGACGACAGATGGGGAGCGGTATCCAAGAAGTATTTGCGCTCGCGCAGAGCCTCCTTCACCAGCTTGTACTGGTTGTAATCCATCTCCCAGAACGCCTTCTCCAGGTATCGCACGCCACCGTGCACGAGCTTCGTGCTCTTGCTGCTGGTACCGGAGCTGAAATCGTCCCTCTCGACAATCGCGACCTTCAATCCGCGGGTCGCCGCGTCCAACGCAACACCGGCGCCGGTCGCACCGCCACCAATGACGAGGAGATCGTAGATATCATCATCTTGGGGTGTAGTGACGGCAACCTCATCCACCCCAGTCGGGTTTAATAATGCATTCTTGACTGCGGTTGATGTAGGTGTGAATTGTCCTCCGCTCCTCTTCA